GTCCAGTTGAGTTTTGGTTGGTTAAGGAGCAGGTTTTCACCATTGACAAGTGGGTAGTTCATTAGAAAGTAGGTCAAGAATGTAGAAGCCAAGGTTACTTTGGCGACAATGATAGTGCTTAGGAGTAAAGTTACATTCAGTTTCAAGGAAGTGATGAGTTCTCTTATGGACTTTGGGAATCGAAGGAGCTCTTCATTGGGCTCATTGTCCTTAGTAGTTTTTGATTTCTTAGGAGTCATTTGTTTTTGATGTTCCTGACAATGCCAATGATTACCCTAACATCTCAAGCTACTGGGTGTATTACTTTGCAATAACAACAACAACAACAACAACATTAATAATAATAATAAAAGCATCCAAAAATACATAACCAATCAATTTACATCACAGGGTAAAGTTTACAGAAAGATAAGCTTAATAGGTTATCAATCAATCATCAACCATCCTTCAATCCAACAAGAATTCAATTGTAACAATAAAATGGCAACAAAAGGAACATTGAGAATTATTGAATCCCAACTCAATGATGAATAAAAGAGAAAACCCAAATCACCTAATCTATCAAATTTAAATACCCAGATGAAAGATCTCATCAAAGATTCAGAAATAATTAGAACTTATTCATTGCACATGCTTTGCCACTTCTATAATTTCATATCTACCAAACAAAAACGGTACAAATACATAGATAAGGATATTATATATGTCAGGAATCATACCTGCTGGAGGAGATTGGAGAGGAGGCCGAAGAGCTGGACATCTGGTGCTGCTGCTGCTGCTTTTCCTTCAGCGCCCATTCTGTTGTTTGTTATTTGTTTGTTTGCAGGTCATTCTATTTACACACCACTTTCCCTCTCAAGGCAAACCATTAATTAATTTATTTTTTATTACAATTTTAACCTTAAGTGAAATGATTATAGAGGACAAGTTATGATACACACCATTTGTGTATTTACCGTAAAGGACAAGAATCAATATAATATAATTTATCATTTTCAAACGTGTTCCTTACATATCTTCTCTGTCAAGAATCCAAAAACCCTAAAACCAAAATCAAAAACCCTTCAACAAATAATCAAAAATATAGTATTATTGAAGATTTTGATTGGATTCAATGAAGGATGCATTTGACAATTCTCATTAGGAAGAATGGAGCAATGAAAAGGTTTATTTTTTTTTTGTTGTTTTTGTCTTCGTTTTCTTGTATGAGTGGTAAATCGTTGTTCGGTTAACCAAAGATGAATAATATATCATTGTTCGACAAACTACAATCGAACAACTCACATATGTTTAACAGACTACAATCGAACAAATTACATATGTTCAATAGACTACAATCGAACATATTCCATTTGTTCGACTATCTAAAACCGAACAAATGCAATGTGTTCGGATTAATACGGTCGAACTATTTCATTTAATTCAACTCTGCACTTCCGAACAGTTATAATTTTTTTTTTTTCAAAACTATGCATCTATGGAATGCAGTAATGTTGGATCTGGGGGTCTTGTTGACTACACGAGTCAATTTATTACTAATGAGGTAGTCTCATGTCAAAAATTAATATTTTTTTCTTTTTGTTTTCGAATGTTTAATGTTTAATGACTTTGTTGAGCACCAACACAGTGTTCAATCAAATGATAATACAAAACAATGTAAATTTATAACTATTTTCCTTTAGTAGATTTTAAAAATTATTATATTTAATTTAAATATAATTATTTATGATATATAATAAATATATAAAATTATTTATTTTACATATTGTGTCCATGCTTCTTAGGGTGTAGTTGGTGTGCTATCCAAGTTCGTGATGTAATTAGTTGGAAGCCCCAATGACAACGATAAAATGTGGACCCTAAAGTTGACTAGAAACAAGGCTATAGTCAGGTTTTATGGCTGATTTTTGCATTTTCTAGCATGCAAGGGCCAATGTCCATGAGATATGTGGTTCCAAATGAAGCCTAAAATTTTGAAAATAGGAAGACAAGAAATAACTAGATTTGAACTGGAAACATGTTCCAGATAGATAGTATAACACTATCCGAAATTCGAAATGCTTATGCCTTGTGTTAAGCATTTGCCTTTAAAAACTATGATGTGTGTATATATACATGGTTTTCTATGATGAAGACTTGAATTTGGCAAGTGAAACCTTATAGAAGATAGAATTTTTGATGGGAGGGGATCTAGGCGAGAGTTGTAACACATAGAAAGCTCCATGTGGAAAGGAAGCAAGCCTTTCAATGTTCTTCTTAGGTCAGTGTGTTTCTAACAGAATCCTAGAAGTATGGAGGAAACTCTTTCACTTTCAAAATAATGTTTATGAATTGTCAAGAAACAAGTCCTACTTGTGAGCCACCATATAGGTTGTGCACTCTTTCTAATTTTTTTTCTTCCTTGTATTAAATGTCATAAGTTGCAAAAACACAGACACGGCAACATGATTTTCAAAAAATGTAGGACACGATATGCTTGGAACATGTTAAAATTTTATATTTTTATAAATTTATTACATGTCATATTATATATATGAATAATTTATTAAAAGATAATGAAAAGTATGTAACACAGTGCTAATTATATTAAAAATTATATATTCCATAACTTAAACATTAAAATATTATTTACTTACAATCACATTTTAAAAAATGTAAAACAATTATAAAACATTGTAACAAACATGATGTATAAGGAGATGTCCAGAATTGCAACAACTATAGGGGAATAAAGCTGATGTGTCATATAATGAAAGTGTGGGAGAGAGTGATGGAATGTCGATTGCGAGATATAATAGAGGTGCTAGAGAACCAATTTGGATTTATGCATAGTAGGTCAACAATGGAAGCGATCTATTTTTTGAGGAGAGTAATAGAAAAGTAGAGAGAAGAAAAGAAACATTTATATGATTTTTATTGATATTGAGAAAGCATATGATAGAGTGCCTCAGAATATAATCTGGTGGGTATTAGAGAAGAAAACGGTGACAAAAGGCTACATTGATGTAATTAGGGATATGTTTGAAGGTGTGGTAACCATTATTAGATCGTCGGCTGGAGAAACGAGTGAATTTTCAATTACTGTACGGTTACATCAAGGATTAACCTTAAGTCTTTATCTTTTTGCTTTTGTTATGGATGAGTTGACGAGAAATATCCAGGATGATGTGCCATGGTATATGCTTTTTGCAGATGATATTGTGTAGTAGATGAGACTAGAGAAGGAGTTGGCACTAAGTTGGAGACTTGGAGAGAAGCATTTGAATCTAAAGGATTTAGGATAAGTTAAACTAAGACATAGTACATGGAGTGTAATTTTAGTAATAGTCACAATGGAAAAAGAGGAGAAGTGAACATTGAGAATCAAGAACTACTTAAGAGTGAATATTTTCGTTATCTAGAATCGATTATTACAACAGCTGGGGAGATATAGAATTAAGGCGGGGTGGCTTAAATGGGGGAGTGCATTTGGGGTACTGTGCGATAAACGAGTATCCGATAGACTAAAAAGAAAGTTCTATAGAACGGTTATTAGACCAGCGATGTTGTATGGAACGCAATGTTGGGCGACTAAGAAACAACATATAGATAAGATGAGTGTTGCTGAGATGAGGTTGCTAAGGTGGAGATGTGGCAAGACTAGAAAAAACAAAGTTAGAAATGAGTCTATTCGTGAATGGGTAGGAGCAGTACCAATCGAAATTAAGTTGAGAGAGAATAGATTGAGATGGTTCGGTCATATACAATGGAGACTAACAGAGGCAATAGTGAAGAGATGCGATATAGTAATGGTAGATGGAAGTGTTAGTGGAAGAGGTAGACCTAGATTGACGTGGGCTTGTGTAGTAAATAGAGATATGAATCTTCTTAATTTGACTAACCAAATTGCCTCTAATGGAATCGAGTGGGGAAAAAATATTCATGTAACCAACACCATTTGATGGAACTTAAGATTTGGTTTGGTTCGGTTTGGTTCGGTTCTATGTATTCATCTAATAAATGTTGCGTAACATATTTAGAGTTCATAAGTTGTGTTATGAAATTTGCAGAACATTGTTATAATGAAGGACTCATTGCATAGGACATATTTGGAGGGCTTAAGAAGTGTCGACAAAGTGTCCGCATGGTGTCTGATATTATGAATTGTGATTTTTTTAATTAAGACACGAAGAAGAAATGTTAGACACGCTTTTGAAAGTGTTTGAAGAATGTCAGTGTTTGACGCAAGTGTCGGATTTGATACAACACACTTCCTTTATAGAAGTGTCCGTGCTTCTTAAGTCATTATCCATGACAATTGGTAGACAATGTCTTTCTTCTGTTTTTATCTAGAAATTCATTCCCCTCGATACAAAAGAGTGGTTTTTTTTTTTTTTTTTTTTTTTTTTTTTTTCTACCTTCGGTGGGGGGAGGGGGTTGTTAAATATGACAACAACAATGATACATCCCACTAATTTGGGAGCACTAATGGACCACTAATGAGGTGGAAATTCAAAAAAAAAAAAGAAAAAAAAAACTTAAGGCCAAAACATCACATCAGTCAGTGGAACCCACTCTCTAGAGCTCCTTTAGTGCTCCCGATATAGAGCTCCCAAACATTTTTCATATGACAAATGTATGTGTCATATGGCCCAGATTATCTGTTATGTTCATTGCATTCTTTTTTTCTTTTTTCTGTTTCTCTTCTTTTTTCTAAGAAGGATGGGGTAGCCTTTATGAGTTGAATTATCAGGCATCTCGATTATGGAGATATAACATCTTCAAAATATTTTCTTGAGATGAGTTCGTCTGTGATCAATATTCAATTTGTAAGGGAGGGCTACCCCTGTTGTATGGTCCATAACCATTGGACCTTTTTTTCTTTCTTTCTTTTTTCTTCAATTTGTCAGTTTATTTTATGCATTTTCTGTTTTTGTAGAACATAATGCAAATGCTGAAGCATGTCATGCATATTTGAAACAGCATGCCTTTTTATCTCACCGCCATTCCTTCAAATCTAGGCATGCAGGGCTGACTGAGAGATTTGAATTATTTATTTGTGGTCGAGAACTGGCAAATGCATTCTCTGAACTAACTGACCCTGTGGATCAGGTAAGCATCAACAGAATTTTTGAATCTCACAACTATCTGTAATTATCACGTCTTGAGTAACTGTAAAACAGGTGACGAACTTTTCAGGATGAATTTCTTGGTTTTGGCTATTCAATAATAAAAGGGTGTTGGTCGGGCTGGGTTGAGACAGGATAATGCGGTTATATTATATCCATCAAAAACCATTTCGTGAAAATCAAAACAAGCCAACTTGAAAAGTGTAGTGCCAAGGTTCTTGTTCTGTTTTGGCCTACTGAATCACTGATGGTCTTCTTAGCGCAATGCTGAATTCTTTTATTAATGGACTTTAAGATTTGGAATGCTCTTCCCTTGAACCTTAAACAGCAGACTTGTATTTCTTCAATACCATGATTGCTGTAAATTGCCTTTTCCCATTGTGATGGGATAGTGGTGGATTTATGGAAGGTCTCCTGTTTTCTTTACTGTCACTTTCTTTTAGTTTGCAAAATAAAAGAAGATATATGTTTTTTTGAAAAATGTATCCAAGAGCTAGTCTTCACTGAAACCAATCATCCATGAAAGGTTTATCGGTATGATGTTTTTATAGAGTACAATCAGAAAATGTTGTGGAGTTGATGTTTTGATGAAGAGTTTAAACACAAGAGCAGTTGGGTGTAGTATAAATTATCTTTTGTTGGTGATGGCCACAACCTTTCTGTCTATTGAATTTAGTAGCTATTGCTGCAGAAAAAAAAGAATGAAAAGAATTATTTGGCTTACCCATGTATGAGGTGGAGGCCATATATAATAGATTCATGAAACAATTTAGGAAATGATATAAATAAGGAAACAATACTAAATCAGTGATTGACACAATTACAGATTATATACATAATACTAAAAATAAAAAGATTTTATGTACTCTAATTTCTATATTCAACACTCCCTCTCAAGCTGGTGTGAAGATGTTCAACAATTGCAGCTTGCCAATGGATGACTGGAAAAAGTCGGAAAAAACTCAACGGCTAGTCCAAATAAATGCTACCGAACAAATCTGGTAGTCCACTAAATGAAAGAGGCTAAAAAAGTGCTTAATACATCAGTATCACACCCTAAAAAGTGAAAAAAAATAGGGATTGAACTGCCCTAGAAGACCTACCAAAGCATCTATAGCCAAGAAACACTTTTTTCAACAACCAACAAGACTCTGGTCGGCATCAGAGGCCGGAGCTAATGTCGGGAGATAGCTTATGGTCGTGCCAGACCGTTGTAGAAACTGGTTGGAACTAATGTCGGGATAGCTTGAGGTCACGCTGGACTGTTGTAGGAACTGACCGTAATCAATGTCGGGATCAGTGTTGTGAAAAATGCGCCTAGGCGCAAGGTGAAGTGAAGCGCATGGTTTGCACCTGGACAGGTCCCAGGCGAGGCGAGTTGAGTTAGGCGCACGCCTTAGACGCGACTTGAACCAGTCGACAGCGGCGCAAGGCACACGACTAGGCATGCTTGATTTTTCGAATGGCTCTTAACCACAGATCTGATCTAACGGCTGCGGGGTGTGTTTTGAATGGCTCTTAACCACAGAGGATTACAACTCATGCACAATATGGCCCAAATACGACTGAAATGAACCCTAACCTACGTCATCTCTTCCTCTCTCGCCTCGCCTTGGACTGCGACTTCGACTGGACTGCTCGACTTCTTCTTCGACTTCATTGGTATGCTTCGCCATCTTCTTTTTCTTCTTCTTCTTCTCCTCCTCTTCGACTGGGCTGATCGACTGGGTTTTGTTTTTTGTTTTTTTTTTTCTTCGGCTTTGACTTCTTCGACTTCTTCTTCTTCGACTCTGACTCTCTTTCTCCTCCTTCTTCTTCTTCTTTTGGCTGTGTCGTCTCTATTTTGCCCCCCTTTTTTTTTTCTCCAATTATGCCTTTGAGTCTGTTAGAAAAAAAAAAAAAAAATACAAATACAAATACAAATTCAAAATAATTAACTAAAAAAAATAGACTAGAAAAAATATATTATTGAAATAGATTATTATGCCTTTCAATTATGCCTTCTTTTTTTTTTCATTTTTTTTTCCCTTATCTGTTAGGGGAAAAAAAATAGATTTTGATTCTGATTAATTAACTAAAAAAAATACACTGAAAAAAAAATTACAAATAAATAATTATTCACAAATAATTAATTAATACAATGTTCTACTAGTCTTTTTTTTTTTTCCCTTTATCTGTTAGGGAAAAAAAATAGATTCTGATTCTGATTCTGATTAATTAACTAAAACTATTTTCCAAAATTAGATTATGATTCTGACTCTTATTTTCCAAAATTCATATTTTCCAAAATTAGATTCTTATTCTAATTAACTAAAATTAATTCATATTTTTCAAAATTAGATTTTGATTCTTATTTTCTAAAATTAGATTCTAATTCTAATAAACTAAAATTAATTCATATTTTTCAAAATTAGATTCTGATTCTGATTCTTATTTTCCAAAATTAGATTAGTCTATGTTAATTTTTTTATTTTTTACTAAGATTGTGCGCCTTACTTCAATAAAGCCCGCGCCTTGCCTCTCGCCTCGCCTTGCGCCTAGGCCCCGAGAGACCTTCAGCGCCTTAGTGTGCCTTGAGCCTTTAAAAACACTGGTCGGGATAGTTTACGAGGTCATGCCGGACTGTTGTAGGAGCTAACCGGAATCAATGTCGGGACAGTTTAAGGAGTCATGTCGAACCGTTGTAGAGATTAACCGGAATCAATGTCGAGACAGTTTAAAAGGGTCATGCTGGTCTGATGTAGAGAATTGGATGTTGAACCAACAAACGTGGCACACACATAACTTATTACGTGATGCTGAACAATGATGGTAACAGATGACTGAGTGCGCCAAGGAGCGGCTTATTTGAAAGTGCGTTAGGGGACGGCTTTAGTGGTGCATTAGAGGGGGCGGCTTGAAGGTATAATACCTCCCCTCAAACTCAAATAGGTTTGAAGATAGAAATAATGATATAAATAAGGAAACAATACTAAATCAGTGATTGACAGAATCACAGATTACATACATAATACTAAAATAAAAAGATTCTATGGACTCTAATTTCTATATTCAACAGAAAATAAATATGAGTATAGAGTATGCGTACTGGTACAATTGCATGCGTACTGGGTACGCAAAATACGCATCGATACTTTTTCTTAATTTTTGAATGTTGGGTATAGCATGGGTGCTTTTCGGGTACTTTTGTGGGTATGTCAAACATTAATGTAAATTTTAAAAAAATATAGGGGCACTAAATAAATATATTGGACCTATTTTTATTAAAATTTGAAAGTATAATGTATTTTTGCAATTATCACCAATTTTAAAAATATTTTCAATTTCTTCCCCCCAATTGTGGAGCATCTTCGTTTGTGTGTGTGTGTGTGTGTCTCTCTCTCTCTGTGACTAGGCTTCTTTCTTTCGCTGCCTGCGATGATAGACCAATTAGGGTTGATGATTGTCAACGCTCAACAATTTCCATTAAGCTTCCTCTTTTCTCTGACTCTCGGATTGACCAATTGAACTTTGATTTGGAGATTGGATCCTTAACTAAATTTTTGGCATTAAAATTTAGTTTGTACCTTGTCTAGAAATTACAGAACTACAGTATTTTTTATGGATGTACCCTAACTGTACCCATATCTTTTTTTTTTTCTTTTTCCATTTTTTAAAAGTTTTGACATATCGGCATGTCCAAAACTGTTTTATGTACCCATAATGTACCCCCACACCTGTACTTCCTAGTTAACTGTAATATTAGTGATGCTTCAAATGTGTGCTTTAGTTGGTTGGAGTGTTGGACAATTTTCTTTTTTGCTAAATGTGATACTTTTGAAATATGTTGCAACTTGTGAGAGGTTGGTTTCGATATGAAGCAGAAAATTAGTTTTTGTTAATTTTAAACCATGGTAGAGAGGACGCTTGGAAGAGCAAGTGAGGCAGCATAATGAGAGGAGAGCAGCAGCAATTTCTGAAATGAACGATTCAGATGAGAAAGGGAAAAAAAATGATGACAACTCATACGAAGTGACTCTAGATGAAGACTTTCTTACAGCTTTGGAATATGGAATGCCTCCAGCTTCGGGAATGGTAAGGTTGTCACTTGCAGAAATCAATACCATTCATTTAACACTACATATTTGTTCCGAGTGAGTTGAGTTCTTGTACAAAGATGTGTATACTAAATGTAATTATACGGGGGCTTGTGTGCCTTTTGCATTTGCTGTGCATATCTTGTCCTGTATGTAAATTGTTTTTCAATTTTCCTGAATTACTTTGGATGGTTGTAGTGCAACAATATGTGACTCATTTATGTTTTACAATTTCTTTCCAAACTCATGTTGGGATTGGTAGTTTTCTTTGCCCTAGTGTGTTAGATTTTGTTATTGGACTACATAGGGGATGGGGGACTAAAGTTATAATTATGGAGTGTACATTTCTCGAGCTAAGTAGTGACATACGATAAGTTTGTATCTTGGATTTTATCGAGGGAAAGAAAAATGAAAAGGAGATGTAATTACTTATACATATTCATTTTTTTACAAACAACCAAAAAAAAATAGCTACTCATTTTTCCCAATGAAACAAAAGAAAATAATTTATCTTTTTCAGATAAGAAGGAAAATTCTTTTTAGAGTGAGTGGAATTGAAGGAAGGATTAAGAAGGAAAATTCTCTTAATTTATTGCTTAGCTGCATATATCATAGGTGTATGTTCTCCGTCAGCAGGGTCTAATCGAAATAATTGATGTTTTTTCAGGGACTTGGAGTCGACCGGCTAGTAATGCTTCTGACAAATTCTGTGAGCATCCGAGATGTCATTGCTTTCCCTGTCCTCAAGGTTCAGCAGCAGTAGCAGCAGCATCAGTAGTAGTGGTAGTATTGTGTACTATGCTTTCTTGATGAGCTGTAGTTAGTTGTTCTGAATTTATTTTTAAGAGAATTTTGGTGGCCTCAATCAAATGAGGTTTTACAATACGGGAGGAGAGGACCTTGCCTTCCTTACTGCCTATGCATGCGGATGGGCAATGCATTTTCTAAAGGTGGTGGTGGTTTCTGCTACTTTTTTTATAGTTATTACCACAAACTTGTGTAATATGTGCAATATAAAGTTAAAGGCCACAACACATATTTATTCCTAAGCTTGTGTGCGCTGGGCAAAGCCGTCGGTTAAAGGCACAGGTAATGAATGGGCTTGTCCTGGCGGGCATTTAGGGAGAATTGATACATAATTTGAGCTCATTAGAATTTGAGTTTTGAGTCTACTTTATCTGCAGGAGCAGTTCACGATTACTAGGTAATTCTTGTAACATGTATTTTATTGATGAATTAATTTGATTATTTGTTTGCTTTGGTTGGAGATTTGGAAATTCTCTATCAAGCAAGCTTTAACTCTTCTCTTTTTAATTATTTATTTAAATTTTTTATTTGGGAGTTCTGTTCTGTGGCTTGCAGCACATTGTACATATAGTGTGTGATCATTGCTGGAGCCTTTTTATTAAATTATTAGTACAACTGTTGGGACTTCGGCTTGTGAGTATGTGCAATTCTGCATATCATTTGGAGAGAGAACACTTACAAGTTATAGTTTGCTCCAGGCAAATGAAAATGATGCTCGAACATGCATTATTTTATTGGCTAAAGCAATAGGTTTCACTACATTTTATCTCCTATGAAGGGATAAGAGGATTAGTGTCATAATATGTGTGGCATGGAGCAATGTTCCAAGACCAGTAAATAACTTCTCCCTCCTCTAGGCTACGCTTATGGCACTGTTGACCCATTTTCAGTAAGGGCTAGTTTGGCATGTACTAAATAAGCTAAAAAGTCAAAAAGTCACTATCTTATTTAAGTCACATCATCTTATTTAAATCGCATCACCTCTCTAACACATCACATCAAACTCAACCCAAACCCAACCCAAACCCACCAATAAGTCAAAAAGTGCACTTTTTTAGGACATTCCAAACCAACCCTAAGACTAGCGCAGGCTTTTAGAGCAGGCACTTGGAAAATTTTATTTCCATACACTTATTTATTTGAGTGTACACACTAAATAAAATTTTATTTTTATGACAATTATATTTTAAAGTAAAATAATCATAATGGATATCAAAATATACCCTTAATATTATATTTCAATTTTCTCTATCCACATCTTTTTAGTAAAAAAAATCTAAATTTATCTGTTGTTCTTCACTTCTTTCATTGTATCTCACTGGCTTGCAAAGTAATATTCTGATAATCCTCTATTGCTTGCAAATCAATACTTTTCAACCAATATTTTCATATTGCTTTATTCTGTGTTTATACTTATTCTGTGTTTATACTCTATTATTTATATAGTTTTGTCATTATAATTTACAATTATTCTTGATTTTGTGATGGAAGAGTTGTAAACCAATGAAAATTTAAATTCAAATAAAAATATGGCTGGTGACAGCAAAAATAGTGATGAAAATGTTAGTTTTTTTGCGCCGAAGTTTATTTTTCCGTGATTTTAAGTCAAAAAAACCAGTGTCAGAATATTTTATTTTCTTAGGATATCAACTGCCGAAAATAATAGTTGTATTTGACATTCGAAACTTAACCACCGATTTTATTTGTTTTATTCGATGAACAAATTCTGAAATTATTAAACTAATTCGATTTTTAAAGATAGAAAATTTTGATTTATTTCGATTATTAAATGCTGAATAATAGTGTTATATTCAGCTCTGACATGCTGAATTAAAAATTATTTTTTTCTTTTCAGATTGTATGCATTGAAGAAATTGAGATTTGATCTGATATTGTCATTTTATAACTAACTAGGTAACTTTTAATAAGAATTTCGTAACTCAATAATTTTTATTAGTTAGTTTGTTTTCATGAAAATTGTGTGACATTATTTACAAGTTTTTGACAAGAAGTAAAAAAAAAACATTACAATGATTTGCATTTATCTGATTCATAGGGGGAACATTCAGAACTTCTGAGCCGAAAAACAATATATGAATCAGAAATCAAATGTCGAACCAATTGACCAATTTTAGTACTACAGAACCGAAATACTGTACTCAATTCGGAAGTTAACCATCGGGTTTTTTTTTTTTTTTCAGAACTCAATTTTTTAATTAAGCAATTTTATTTGGGAGTAAACAATTCTACACTCAATTCAAAACTCAATTCCACACTCAATTCAACACTTTATTCAAAAACAATAACCAAACAAATTTTCAACACTCAAATTATAATTCTAAAACACACAAACTCAAAATACAACTCATATTTTTAAATCATAGTTACAAAACTCTACCAAACGGATCCTTAGTTTTTTTGTGCAGAAGTTTTTTTTTCCGTGATTTTAAGTCAAAAAACCAGTGTCGAAATATTTTATCTTCTTAGGATATCAACTTGTATTCGACATTTGAAACTTAACCACCGATTTTATTTGTTTTATTCGATGAACAAATTCTGAAATTATTAAACTAATTTGATTTTTAAAAATAGAAAATTTTGATTTATTTCGATTATTAAATGCTGAATTAAAAATTATTTTTTTCTTTTCAGATTGTATGCATTGAAGAAATTGAGATTTGATCTGATGTTATAGTGGATTGTCCTAGTCATTTTATAACTAACCAGGTAACTTTTAATAAGAATTTCGTAACTCAATAATTTTTATTAGTTAGTTTGTTTTCATGAAAATTGTATGACATTATTTACAAGTTTTCGACAAGAAGTAAAAAAAACATTACAATGATTTGCATTTATCTGATTCATAGGGGGAACATTCAGAACTTCTGAGCCGAAAAACAATATATGAATCGGAAATCAAATGTCGAACCAATTGACCAATTTTAATACTACAGAACTGAAATACTGTACTCAATTCGGAAGTTAACCATCGGGTTTTTTTTTTTTTTTCAGAACTCAATTGTTGAATTAAGCAATTTTATTTGGGAGTAAATTTCCGAATTAAATAAATAATTTCGGAAAACCAGTGCCAAATGCCCAAAAGCGCAAAACTTGAAAGAAAAAACTAGAGTTTTATAAGAATGGAGTACACAAAGATTTCGAAATCTTGAAATGGTAAATGCAATAACAAAATAATAAATGCAATAGTGAAATGGAAAATAGGAGATGCCTCATCTTCAACAATGCAATGGAGGGCCTTCAATAGAGTTGTCAATGGAGGGTCTTCAATGGAGGACTATGGTCTTCACTTTGACTGTGGTCTTCAATGTTTGTCTGGAACCATAGCAGTGGGTCTACAATTTTTAATAGGTGTGTGAAATGAGGATTGGGGTGGTATGTGTATGATAGTATGAGTAAAGCATATAATTGAAACATTTAGTATGTAGATTGAGAAGAATAATTAATAATCAAATTAATAAGTGTGTGCACCGAGGTAAGTAGGTGTGTGGAAATAGAATTTCCTCATATACTTCGGCTTGAACATTAAACTTATAGGGGCTGTTTCGTGCAACAGCTTTTCACAAGTTATGAGTTAATTTCTAGCAACTGGCAAGTATACCCAAACTGCCATCTCCTTATTTTTTTCTGTCGGGAAATAAAAAAATAAAAGTAAAAATAAATGGTGGACTGGCTCATGTTTTATGTTTTACACACACACACACACACACACACACACATATATATATATATATATGTATATTTCATTCTGCTGGCATGACCTCATGAAAGTAAGTTCTGTGATTGTGAAAGGATCAAAGGCTAAATGCAGTTCTGGGGGATTGAAAATATAGCTTCAATAATGTTTTTGGATTTGTGGAAATAGAAAATTTCTGAAAGGTCTAATGGTAACCAAAGAAAAGAAGAAAGGATGTATTATGTATTTGTACAATCTGCGAAACATCTATCTTTCACATTAAACTTAGAAAAATAGGATTATATTGTCTCTCTTTTTGATTCAGGAAAAGCATATGTGGGGGTTCATTCATGCATAGTTAATTTGGTGATTGGAGAAGAATAGACTCCTGAGGCAAATCTTTATTGTCACGAAGTTATCTACGAAATATCTCTTACAACTTAGCCCTTAAGAGTGATATTCTAATTGAATTTCCTGTTTTCTAAGAACCTAAAAGCCTGGATAGCTTGAAGTTGTTTTCAGTTATAACTTGATTGTAATTGTGTCATTTGGCTTCATTTTGTCACAGTGATGAGGAGATATTGACAACAAACAGGAACATAGAGGATGCATTTGTATGGTTCTTTGATTATATTCTACTCAACCCAGCTCAGATATGCTTTGTAAATTCCTATCAATGACATGAAAATAGTCTTCAGATATATCATTGCTGTCTTGCTCCCAATTTAAGAATTTTCTATTGAGAGAGCTGAGTTCAATTTAGCTGAGGGCAATAGGGTATTGTTTCTTTATACTGCTATATATTTTTATTCTTTAATCTTCTTCCTTGTTTCATCAATCACTATTGTTTCTGTTCTGTCATAAAATCCGATTTCGAGGAATGATTTCTAACATAAGAAAGGTAGTGGCCATTACTGACAACAATTACTTCAAAATTTGTCTGGCATTTTGGAAATGCTCTAGTCTTGCAGGTTCTTTAATGCCTTGCTCTTGCTGTTTAATATGCATTGTTTAGTTAAAAAAGGAATGAATAGGAAATATATCAGAAACATCATATGGAATCTATGTAATTAATCATACATGGCAACTGTGCTAATGAGGGCTCTTCCTCAGCTTTAGCCAGTGGAAGAGAACCAACAAAATGTGGAAGGTTGAGTGATTGAGGAACACTGTTTCATTACTTTAGTAATATGGAGAGAGAATCTCCAGTACTTATTGAAGATCAAATACAGATTGCTTGTTGGCTTCTTTATGTTAAGAAAGAACTGCAATGACCTGAATTATTTACCCTTATTGGTATTCCAGAATTTCAATGACTTGCAGGGAGACCTTACAGTAGAGCTATTTGGCTTAAGCTCTTTGCCCTCTTCGGAAGCTGCGGCGATTTGGCGGTCTTGCTGGGATCAAATAGCTAGTAATACATATGATTGCAATCGATAAGAAGAAGCCGAGTGGAAACCCAACTGCAACTCCTTCCCATGAAAACCATGACTCCTTGATGTCATCCTCCTCCTGCACTTCTGGCGGTGGCAGCTTCTCTGGACATTTCACCCTAATTTGAAATCCGCATAACCCAATGTTATTAGCATAGTAATTTGGATCGTCCATCGTGTCCATCTGTCCACCCACTGGAATTTTTCCAACGAGCTCGTTGTTGCTCACATCCAACGTAGTCAGTTCTTGCAGCTTTACTAGTGTTTTTGGGATTGAGCCAGATAGCTTGTTGTGCGACAAGTCCAAGCTCTCCACACTCCGTAAATCACCGAAACTTGCTGGTATTTCACCGGCAAGTCTGTTGAATGAGATGTTGAGTACCTTTAGGCCCTTGAGTTCACCTAATGATGCTGGAATTTCACCCGAAAGTTGGTTCTTTGACAAGTCTAACAAGGAGTACAGGCCAAGGTTGTGACTTGAAAGACCTTGTATCGACTTTTTCCAGTTCACTAGTAAGTCATTGAACTCGATTGAGAAGGTGAACATACCAGAGAGTGATGAATTTGTGACGGGAGTTTCAATCATTCCAGCAAGATATCGCATTTCTGGGGGGATTTTCCCTGTGAGTTTGTTGGATGAGAAATCGAGAATTTGGAGGCTAGTAAGGTTGGAAAGTCCGTTGGGGATCGAACCTTGAAGGGAATTGTTTCGTAAATTCAGAATTTGAAGAGTGGAGATTTCAGAAAGAAATGTTGGCACTTCACCAGTGATTTTGTTGTCATGGAGATCAAGATGTTGAAGCTTGCTCAAACGAGTCAGATCCCGAGGCAAGGGACCTGAGAAGTAGTTTTTTCCCAATGAAAGAATCCTAGTTTCATTAGAGAGAGTCACTGGAATCTCACCTGATAACTCATTGGAGGATAAATCGACAAAAGCAAGCAGGGCATCAGGGTTGAAAGCGGTTAATATGTTGCCAGAAAATCTGTTGCTTGACAAGTCCAACAACAACAGGCGATAAATCTTGGAAATGGAAACTGGAATGGGGCCAGAGAAGTTGTTTGAAGCCAACATAAGAATCATGATCTCAGTAGCATCACCAATGTTGTGAGGCAACTCACCAGAGAAATTGTTTCTGGAGAGGGAAAGGACTGATAAACTCAAAGATTGAAAAAGACGAGGAGGAACACAACCACTAAGCTTGTTATCTGAGAGAATGATGCTTCCAACTTCCATCTCAGCAAGCCAATCTGGGAATGTTCCTTGGAGGTTGTTTTCACTTAAATCAAGAAAATCAAGACTCTTTTGAGTAGAAATCCAATCTGGGATGTCACCATCAAGCCCACAAGACTTGAGAGAGAGTTGAGATAGCCTACACTCGGGCACTACATTAATATTGTTATTCAGCTTCAGCTTGTTTCCTCCCAGAAACAGGTTTTTTAGTGCCTTGAAATTGAGCAGCCAGGATGGAATTTGTCCAGTGAGCATGTTGTTGTCTAGCCTAAGTGTTTCCAAGTTGGTCATATTCTGTATGGATGCTGGGATTCCACCGGTGAAATAGTTGTCGCTCAAGGCCAAAGTGGAAATGTTTGATAACCTTGTTCCAATCTCAACTGGAATATCCATTGAAAATGAGTTGTTCCTCAGGTCCAGTAGTTGAAGCTCTTTCAGATACAGCACTAGCGAGGAAGGGATCCCGCCATGGAACTCGTTCTGTCGGAGAGACAATTGCTGCAACTTGGAGAGGTTCCCAATCTCTTCCGGGATGCTTCCATGAAAGAAGTTTTCATCCAACTTCAAAGCCTTCAAGTTTGTAAGATAGCCGACTTGGGGACTTAGAACACCATTGAGTGAATTGCCACTCAAGTCCAGATATTGCAGAAACCTCAAGCCAAGGAAAAGTAGTGGTGGGATAGAGCCATGGAAGCTATTCTCCATGAGGTCAAGGTGAACCAGTTTGGTGAGATTGGCAAAACCATCACCGGGAATTTGACCTTGTAAGTTATTGGAGGAGATGTCAAGCAGCATCAACGTGGTAATGCGAAAGAGCGGTGTCAAGACCACCTCCGCATTGATAAGTGGCATTATTGGCATTGGCATGTCCATGTCCATGTCCAATTGGAGAGTAGCGGTGCTGGGACTGGCAATGGAATGCAAGTTAAGAGCAATGATGGAACGTGCCGCCTTTGAATCACAAACGATTCCGTCCCAACTGCAGCAGTCAGAAGAAGTGGAGTTCCAAGATTCTAAGCCATAGATGATGGAGGAATTATCTGAGGAAGAGGAGCCTGAGGAGGTATTGAAGAAGTAGGATTTGAATTGGAGAAGGGCATGCCTTTGATGATCAGGACAACATATTAAACAAGGGATGATGAAGAACAAGTGGATGGTGGTGATGAACAACAACACAACATGTATGCTTGGTTTGGCCATTTGAGTTGAGTTACAGAGTGAGGCAGAGAGACTCAGCAGGAGCTAGCAACTATGGCATTGGCTGGTGGTTTAAATATAAAATAAAATATAAATAAGATATTTTGATTATGTTTATTGGAAACAAATAAGATATCTGGGACTACCGTGGGCGTGCTTCATATTTGGGAATAAGTTATTTTAGTAAAAAAATCTCCGCTAAAATATGAGTTTGTATTTTTTTTTATTTTTTATAAAAAAATAAACGTATAAAAAGTAGTGAGAAAAAGAAATCTTTTATCCTTTTTTATTGTAATTATTTGATTTTTTTTAAATTTTAATTATTTTTTGACTTTTTAATCATTATAAGAGTTTTCAAACCAAGCCTAATTTTGTTAATAAAGATAATAAAACAACAAAACAAAAGTCTAATTCAAAGTTACAAGGAGTTATAATTAGTGTGTTTGGTTTCAATTTTTTAGAAAGTAGTTTTTTTGATTTTTGTATTGTTTATTTTTAGTGCATAATTTTAAAATTTTAAGCAATTTTTTTAGATGGATCTTATTTAGATATATCTAAATAATAAAATATTTGTGAAAAAATATTTTTAAAAATTAATAAATATACGAAAATATGAAAAATATACTGAATCTTTGTATTTTTAGTATTTAGTGAATTTTTTAAAGATTTTTTTCATAAATATTATACTTTTAAAGTTTTTTTTATATTAGGTGTGTGTAAAAATTAAGAAAAAAAATTGCTTAAAATATTAAAAAAATTCAGTAAAAACAAAAAAAAAATACTGAAAACAAAAAAGTAGCATTTTCTAAAAAGTAAATTTTGAAAACTGAAACCAAACAGAGTGAATATTTTGGCACATATTAATATCAAACAGTGTCATAATTCACAGTTTCATTTATCATAATTATGGGTTCGTTTGGGATGTGGGTTGGTTTTTGGTTTTTTTAACATAGGGCTAAAAAGACTCGTTTGAGATAGAATTTTTGACTTTTTAAAGAGAAAAAATAAAATAATTATGTTTTAAATGTGATATTTTATTTTATTAAGTTAATATTATTGTCATTGGTGATATATCAAGTAATAAATCAAATATGATATATAAATGGGGTGATTTTAACATTATTAATTTAAAAATATAATAATAATAATAATAAGCAGATTGAGTAAAACAGGAGGAGGAGAGATGGAGAACCGAGGGAGTACAAGTACAAGGATAGTAGTATGAAACAAGTCTGAAGTCAATGATCAAATCAATTCTCAAGTCAATCCAATGCAATGGCAGTAGCACGAGTAGCAGTGGGTAGGTGTTTGACAATTGGAAAAGTGAAGCCGCGTTTCCTTGTCATTTTCAGAGACTCTGCATACTGCTCCTTTTTTGAACCAGTTATATTTTGGGTAAGCCTGTGCGTTGTGAGTTGATTTTTTTTATTTTTTCGTAATTAGAGTTAAATGGCTTTATTTGGGATTGATTTTTTTTTTTTGTCTTTTTTTAATTTTTATGAGAAAAAAAAATTATATTTTTTAGATCTGACATTTTATATTATTTATTTTTTAATTTATTTTATCTTTTTATAACTATTTTAATTCAAACCATTTATGCTAGACATAACCTAAATACCAAATCTATTTGCACACCATACAAGTTTTTCATTTGGATTATAAATGTTTTCAAATATAAATTTTCAAACAAATATAAAGGCCTTGTTTGGTTTGTGTTTTCTAAAAATTTTTGGAAAAAATTCTCTACAAATAAGTTTTCAAAAGTAATTAAACCAAACAAATTCTCCCAAAAAAATTTCTCAAAACTTGTTTGGTTTACAAGTTTTCCAAACAAATCTCTCTCTCATACACATCAAATCAATCACTTTTTCCAAAACTCTCTCAAAATAATTTTCCAAAACATCTTTTGAAAAAAACCAAACCAAACAACTTTTCGTACTTTTTATCTTTAAAACTCATCTCCCAAACTCAAACCAAACATAAATGTTTGGATTTAGATTTATTAATATAAAATAGTTATTCACATATAAATAATTAAACATACTATATATTTGAATAATTTATTTTTGTTCATAATTTTAAATTTGAAATTTTGATATTTGTTTAAAAATTTATTTATGAATACGTTTGTAGTGTGCACTGAAAGTTTATATGGTGTGCAAATAAAATTTTCCATAACAAATATATCTCTTGAAATTTGTTTAAAATATGAATTGTTTGTTATAGTTTAAAAAATTATACTGATATTTCTTTGTCAGAATTATTTATTTAGTAAAATTAACTGAAAAAATAAAATTTCTAATTATTCTCATTATAAAATTACTTGAATTATTAATTAAAATAAATTACTGACATCATTAAAAATTATTAATTAACTTGATAATTTATTAATAAAAGATCTCATTTTGTTATGAAATAAAAAACTTCAACGGGGGGATGTGATTTCGAGAACCATAGAAGATAAATCGTATTTTAAGCAAACTTTACGGGTGTATTTGTAATTTATCCTATAATTTATTTATTTATTTGTTAAGGTCAATTACAATTACACTCCTTGATATTTACTAAAAATATGGATTGTTCTCCATAGTTTGAAAAATTACAAATACTTCATTATTAGAATTTTTTATTTAATAAAATTAGTAGAAAAATAAAATTCCTAACTATTCTCCTATACAATAATAAAATTATATGAATTATTAATTGAAATATATTTATGATATCATTAAAAATTATTAATTGACTTGATGATTTATTAATAAAATGAATCATTCATTATGTAATTACAAACTTGAAGATGCAAAGCACAATTTATAAATTATATATTTTATTTTTATTATTTTAATATTTAATTAGAATTATTATTTAAGACTAAAATCTTTAGTTTATGTTTATTTAGGTTGCCTATTGGTTTATTTCGTTGTCCTACAAGAATTAGGATTATTTGCTTTACAAGTATTATTTTATTTCCTAATGTTTTATTTGCCTTTTTAATCTTGTTGTTTTACGAATTATTTTTCATTATAAATAAGGTTGTAAGCCTTAGAACTATTTAGGTTGTAGTTTATATTTGATTAATAAAAATTGAGAGTCTGCTCAATATTATTCGTCAATAGAGAGTATTTCTAGTTCGGATTTGTTCGTAATTCACTTCCATCCATCAAAGGGGTAAGATATAATTTCTAAAAATCATAAGAAAAATTCATATTTTAAACAAATTTCAAGCGGTATATTTATAATTTACCTTATTTGTTAAAACCCCACACAAACAATTAGAGTATGTGTAACTACTAAAATTATATATTAAATTTATTTACATGAATCATGACTTGAAGAAATCATTAAATAAAAAAGATAAAAACATGGTCTTTTTGGGATATACAAGCTATCGTGGGTTAACTTGTGTGCACCATACTAAATTTCTATAGTTCGAACATACTTTCTTAAATAAGTTTACAAAAATATTTTAGAACTCTAATATAGGAGTTCTAATAGCTCTAATGGGAAGGTGGGTCTCACCCTGATGTGATGTTTGTGCCTTGTTTTGTTTTTGTTTTTGTTTTTTTTTTTTTTTTTTTACTTTGACACATCATTAGAGCTCAAATTAGAGCTTTATATTTAGAGCTCTCTATCATTTCCCATAAGTTTATTCCTTACGGTTTGTGACTTTAAGAATTTTATTGACAAGAGGAGTTGAATTAAAAAAATTATATGTAATTTGTGATTGATGTTATAAATTTTTATAATAAAATTACATAATTTGGAATAGGTACAGAGCAGGCAATAACATTTCCCTTGTATGTCCAAAACTTTAAAACTGAGCTATGTCAATCTGATTTTGAATTTGACAGTAACCCAAACTAATCAAAATTAACATGATATATACAACCTGACCTAACTAGGAATACTGTCAATGGGTGGGCTTTTCAAAGGACCTCTCAAAACCCAAAACCCAACTGATGTGATATGTTTGGGTCAGGGCTGTTTTGGTAACCCAATTAAAAGTTAATTTTTAATTTATTTTAGATTATATTATTTTTATATTTTTTATTTATAAAAAGATAAAAGAATTAAAAAGTCAAAAAAAAAATAAAATTTTAACAAAGTGTTTGGAGCTAATCATGAAGTTATTTCTAATTAAAAAATTACTTTTTAAAAAAAAGAGTAAAAGTCTAATTGAAAAGAGCTAAAGAACAATTAAAAAAGTTAGATTTTTTTTTTTTTTAACGAATAAAAAAAAAATACTAAGAGTTTATTTGAGATGTAAGTTAATTTTTTGATTTTTTAACTACCTAGCTAAAAAGTCTCACTTTTTGATTTTTTTTACTTTCATGAAAGAAAAAAATAAAATGATTATAATTTAAATGTGTTTTTTTTTAGCATGAGACTAAAAAATTTATTTTATTTTTTTATGACTATTTTAGCCTCAACCCACCCCAATCTATCTTCCCAAACGATAACTAATTTCTTTTAACAAAATCAAATTTTTTTTTTTTATATTTAAAAAAGTTTTAAAAAACAAAAGTAACAAATAAAAAAGTCAATAGCAAATGCTACGTGGTCAATGGGGGGACAATCGTAGGTGTTTTGAAAATTGATGGATGGGGGTGGGTGGGAAAAAGCCACATTTCCTTTTGTCATTTTGGGGGAGACTGCATGAGTTGTCTCGACTCCAAGATTTGACCCACAGTCTCGAACAGTAAAATGTTCATCAAATATTCTAAAAAAAAAAAACCGAAAACGTTAAGGTAGTTTTTAGTACTCCCTCCCTCCCTCCCAAAATAATGGTCTCTTTTGGGGAATGTAACTTTTTTTGGTAGTACAATTATTGTATTTGAAAAAAGTTAATTTTTCAAAATTACCCTTTTGATAGTACAATTTTTGGGAATATCAATGTCATAATTGTACTTTTTACATTGTTTATTAATTTAAAAGAAGGGCAAAATAGGAAATTTACATTATTTTTGTACTTGATTTTTGAAGAGGGACTAATATTTTGGGACAATGAAAAATGGAATAAGGGACTAATATTTTGGGACGGAGGGAGTAACATTTACGGTATAAAATTTAAATAATTTGAATCAATATGTGATATTATTATTTAATAATAAAATTATATGATAATTGATCAAAACTCTTACATAT